TCTTATCTGTACCCGTGTACATGCTCTGGTCTAGCCAGATTTGTAAGGTAGAATTGGGATCATGTAAGTGGGGGGGGGGAAGTATTAAAGAACTAGAGGAGAGTTGTACGTTTCATTGGTGCTATACTGCACCCTGACTGGCTCGTCCCTTCCTTGTGATCCTTCTGTGAGGAAATGTCCAGTTGCCTACAGATGGGCCTTGGTTCTCCACTCTGCGCTCCCCCTCATTCACAATGATAAGATTTTTTGTTCGGGTCTTTGGAGGCAGACTTCTTTGTGGGTGAGGTTGGGCCAAGGTTTGCTCAAAGCCAAATAACAGTGAACTAAGAAGAGGGAGCATCCACCCCCCAGTCCACCTGCGCTGGTCAGTACACTATTGGCCTCCTGAGAGCAGCGGTGCCTTCCAAATGTCCATTACAGTAGAACCCCGGGCCTCAATACTAATCTGTTGTAGAAGGAGAGTCCGTCCATATGCCATGCAGCTGAGTTCTGAATCTGTGTTTCCCATAAGAAATAACTGAAAACAGATGAATCCATTCTCAACCACCAAGTTTGTACCCTCACCTTGCCTTTTTATACAAAACATTACACAGAAATATCAAAGTAAATAAGTTCAGCGTTAAATAATATAATTTAAATAAGAAACAACCTTAAAAAAGTTTTTTATTTTTAAAATCATTTTACTGGGGGCTCGTACAACTCTGATCACGATCCATCCATCCATCCACTGTGTCAAGCACACGTGTCCATTTGTGGCCATCATCATTCTCAAAACATTTGCTTTCTACTTGAGCTCCTCATTTTTCCCCCTCCTCGTAAAAGAAGCTTTTAGCAACTACTGTGTGGCCCCTACCTGGAGACGGATGAGGCTCTGGATCTGTGGACACGGATGTGGAGAGGAGGGATGGAGAGAGAGTCATTGTGTCGAAGGGGAATCCCCTTCCATCAAATCACCCGGTAGCCGCTTTTCAGGAGTTTTTTCCCTTTGCCTTTTTTCACCAGGACCTGGCTGCCTTTCTCTAAAAAAACTGTCTAACAGGGTCTGCTGTTGGTGTTTCCTTAACGGTTTTCTCAAAGGGTATACTAAATTATCAATATTGACAACACAGTTAACCAGTTCCTTATCATGGTGATTCTTTTCAACAAACTCTTTCTTAGGACCCATGTTTTTTATCTAAAAACAGTACAAAAGCCACAAAATACTAAGAAAATTACAGCAAAAACGCTTGGAACACATCCGCAAACGGTTTAAAACAATACGTACTAACAATGCCAACTAACAGAGTGACCGAAACACAAACTGCTCTTGCGTACAAAAATCACGTGCCTTGGGCTGGAGTCCGATGTTTTGTCCAAGCTCTGATGGAAAAGGTTCTTGACATTTCAGTCAAAACCCAGATATGTCAAGCACTGATGCGGCCGACCCGGGGTTCTGCTGTCCATAGGAGGGGACACGGGAGCCCAGAGAGGTTGTGGGACTGGCCCCGGGAGGGACACACAGCCAGCAGCTGGCCGTGCAGGGATACCTTCAAGCCTGGGCTCCTAGCCACTTGGCCAGAAATCTCTGCGCTAATGGTATAGGCTTGCTGTTGTCATGGGTTTGGAGGGTGGTTTTGGGAAGGAGCCCTGATTCTGTTCTGTGTTCAAACTCGGGCCCTAACCACAAAGCCAGCAGGTCCAGCCCACCAGCCGCACCGAGAGGGAGGAAGGATTCGGTTCCTGTGGAGGCCGATAGCCTGGGAACCCACCGGGGAGATGGGGGGGGGGGTTCCCTCTGCCCTGTAGAGCCCATGTGAATCATAATCCTGAGCCGTGTGTTTGTGTTGAGAGGCGCCTGGGGCCTCGTCTAGTAAGTCTTGTAAGCTGTGTGTGCAGGGCCACTGCGTCAGAATGAACCGGACGGCAGTGGCACAAAACAACTTACTCGGGCTTTCCCAAACAGGGAAATCCACCCCACACCCCATGCAGCTAGACCTGTGGGCGAGTTACAAGCAGGGAAAGTGCACTCCACAGGAGGGACGGGAACGCGTACGGTAGCCGGAGCCGCAGTTCTCCGGGATGGGGCACAGCCCACATGCCCACCCAGGAAGGACCCGGTGAACACAGGTGGTCCCCATCCACAGTGACGAGAAAGGCGGCGGGCGTGGTGCAGGTCGCGACACGGGCGCACTGAGAAAGTGTGGGAGCGGCTCTGTGGATGAGGTGTTGGGCCACCAGCCACGCTTTGGGCGGTTCAAGCCCACCCAGGTGCTCCTGCTGTAAGAAGAGGCTGGCCACTCCCGGCCCTAGATTCGATTCTGACTCTCAGCGACCCTACAGGACGGTGCTCTCCCACCCCTGTGAGTCCCAGACACTGTAACTGCCCACTGGGAGTTGACAGCCCCGTCTCTCCCTTGGAACGGCTGGTGACCTCACACCACTGCTGATTGCAGCCCAAAGCATAGCCACCATGCCACCGGGCCCCTGCCTTACGGAGTAGACAGGGGGAAAAATGAGGAGCGGCCAACGTGGTGTCTGTGCTGCGGGCACATTTGTACATTCTCACTGTCCATCCGTCTTGTT